CGCACACACGCAGCGCAGTAACGCAGGCACGCACGCACGCACGCATGCACGCAGTAACGCACGCATGCAATTCACGCATATACATACGCACGTGCATGCACACAACAGAATGCGCGCACGCGTTTAAGCAACAACAGCTGAGTGCAAAGCCGGACAATGAAATACGAGAGAAGTCGCTTTATTACTTATGCATATTTAGAGCTATTTTAAGTGAAATCGTATGACGAACGCAACCATTGCTGTCAGCCTCCGCAGACAAGGCATTTGACGGCTGAAGCTATTATTTTGGCAGCGACAGAAGCGTGAGCAAGATCTGAGCCAACATGGACCTTGATGTTACTGCATGGCTTCCTCCCATGCACGTCCGTCATTCTCGTTATGTTCCTGACCTTACCGTACGCCGCCCCCCCGCATCACATTATCTCGCTCACATGCTCTCTCTGTTGTTCTGTGCGTGTGTATTTGTTTGTTTGTTGTTGGTTGGTGGTTGGTTGTGTGTGTGTGAGTGTGTGTGTGCTGTGGTGTGTGTGGTGTGTGTGTGTGTGTGTGTGTATGTGTGTGTGTGTGTGTGTGAGGGTGTCTACGTGCGCGCACGCGCGTGTGTGTGTGTGTGTGTGTGTTCGCGCGTGAGTATATGTACGTACGTGGGTGCGTGCGCGTTGCGAGTTGGTGCGTGCGCGTGGGTGCGTGCGCGTGGGTGCGTGCGTGTGTGTGCGTGCGCGTGGGAGAGAGAGAGGTCGCTAGCTGCCACGCGTTTATATACGAGTATGCAAATATCAATAGTTGCCTAACCGTTTTCTGTCGAAGGGGAAATTGGCTGCTCTCTTTTTCTCAGGAGAGGAAGAAATACTTCGCCGTCTGAGCACACGGGCGATGCAAAGAAGCATCGGTTTTGTTAATGTAGATGGACATCAGAAATTCATTAGCTTACCATTAGCAAAATTAAATTATGGAGATTTTCAGATTTTATTTATATTTTTATTTCGATATAAACTTTATTTAATCTCGACAAAAGTTAATTAAAACATACATAATTGAAACGAACACGGGCACACGTCATCGCCCATGCTCGTCGCAGCCGCAGACGGCAAAACACCTGAGCGAAATTAGTTGTTAATTAAAACTTAATTCGGTTAATTGCATAATAAATGCAGTGTAAGATATGCGTTCCGAGGCGTCCATGGAGACCGAGCAGACGAAAAAAAAGATTCGGCTTACACGCGAAGAACAATGAAGCAATGACGACGTTTGTTTCCCCCTGGTCGTGTAATCTTACTGACAATGGCAAAGTGTTAAATGACCTAGCTCGAGATATCATCGCTTTCATTTACACAGCACGCATTTGTTATCGATCACCGCAGGGAGAATGAATCATGATTCATCTAATTATGAATACGGAATACTATAGTATACACTGCTCTGCGATGCTATGCTATGCTGTGCTACGCTATGCTAAGTTATCCTGTGCTATATGTTCTGATCTGCTATGCTCTGCTATGTTATCCTGTGCTATATGTTCTGATCTGCTATGCTCTGCTATGATATGCTATGATACGCTATGCTATGCAATACTATGCTATGCTATGCTATTCTATCTTGTGTTATGCTATGCTTTATTCTGTTATGCACTAGAGAGGAAAAGAATGAAAGAAAGAGAGAGGGAGTGGGTGGGAAGCGAAGGGTAGAGAACGCACGAGACGCCGATAGAGAAAAAAGATGTAGAGACGGATTCGTACCTGATACTTTGGATCATATCCAGAATCCCGCATGATTTCAGGCAGTTCTCTGCCATTGCGGAAGTGTCTGGCCACCAGCTGGCGCCCGAGAGAGTGCGTGTGCACAAATCCGCCTATGATGGTGATGCCATCTTTCGGCAGCGCCTGAAAACAAGTTGTTTTTGAAAGTACATCAAGCACATATTAACATATAGCTGTTTAACAAGTTGGTTGCCCTATTTAATAAGGCGGCACCAGGTACATATGCCCGACCGTAAATCAAGTACGTGACTGACAGTTGACTAATGTATAACTGTTAAATGATTCTGCTCCCATACGCCGTCTCCCGATAGCTAGTCTCTGCACACGTACAAATGCGACTTAATCATATGTTAACATATTATAGCTGTTTACAAATTTGTTGCCCTATTTAACAAGCGCTCCGTCGATGCACATTCGAACATAAATCAAGCATATATCAACCCACAGCTGTTTAACAAATCTGTCTTCCGGTAGCCAGAGAGTGTGTGCATGCACGAATGTAATTACACAAGCCCCTATTAACTTATAACTGATTAACAGATCCGCCCCCCCCACACGCTGGTCCCCCGGTAGCTAACTAGCATCTGCACACATGGCTAACGTAACGCGTATTAACTAACAGCTGTTTAACAGCTATTACATCAGGCAGCGACAGAAGGCCTCACGTAGCGTATACGTACACGCTACATGTGACGTGCTGTGTCGCAGACAACCCGCCTCATATACACGCGCGGGGCCGTGTGTGACAGCGGCGGCCGCCCGCGCTGCTGCAGCACATTAAATATTACTCATTAAACACACGCCGATCACGATTAACAATCACGTTAAAATCCCAACGCGCGCATGCAAGCACACTCACACGCACGCACGCACACACGAACGCACGCAGTAACGCAGGCAGTAACGCACGCACGCACGGACGCACGCACGCACGCACGCACACACGCACGCAGTAACGCAGGCACGCACGCACGCACGCATGCACGCAGTAACGCACGCATGCATTCACGCATATACATACGCACGTGCATGCACACAACAGAATGCGCGCACGCGTTTAAGCAACAACAGTGAAGGCCAAAGCGACAATGGAAATACGAGAGAAGTCGTTATTACTTTCATATTTAGAGCTATTTTAAGTGAAATCGTATGACGAACGGAAACCATTGCTGTCCAGCCTCCTGCAGACAAGGCATTTGACGGCTGAAGCTATTATTTTGGCAGCGACAGAAGCTGAGCAAGATCTGAGCAACATGACCTTGATGTTACTGCATGGCTTCCTTCCATGCACGTCCGTCATTCTCGTTATGTCCTGACCCTTACGTACGCCGCTCCCCCCGCATTCACATTATCTCCGCTCACATGCTCTCTCTGTGTGTCTGTGCGTGTGTATTTGTTTGTTTGTTTGTTGGTTGGTTGGTTGGTTTGTGTGTGTGTGTGAGTGTGTGTGTGTGTGTGTGTGTGTGTGTGTGTGTGTGTGTGTGTGTATGTGTGTGTGTGCGTTTGTTTGTGTGTGTGTGTGTGCGCGTGCGTGCATGCGTATGTATGTGTGCAGGGCCAGCAATGGCGGACTACTTGCTGTGGGAAAACAACGCGGCGCGAGGAACGGGCCGCGGCTAGCAACGGCCGCTAGAGGGCGCGACGGCGACGACGAGTCACGAAGGGATTGAAATTTCATTAAAAAAATTACTTTTTCCTTTTTCGGTTTCAAAACGGGGTTTCTTGTTAATCCGTCTGGCGCGCGCGCCATCGACGTATTATTTAAAGATATCATCGCCATTCGCATGATTCGCTTTTATTTTCAAATTAAATATCGGCTTATTTGAACTGAGCGAGGGAAAAGCTACGCTATGCTTGTTAGATGCCACCCTAGCGACGAAGACATACTCTCTCTGTCACTTTCATTCTTTCGTCCCACTTCTCTCTCACCACCGACAACCCCACCCACCCGCAGTGCCATGTCTCTGATCTGATCAGAGTGGCACTGGGCGGGCAGATAGACGAGAAATAAAGCGGAGAGGTTTGGGATAAAACAGGAAAGGGTTGAAGGAAGGAAGGGAGAGGGAACAAGAGAAGAAAAGAGAAAATGAAAGGAAGGACGTAGCATGGCTAAGAGCAGGAACAAGTGATTGAACGTGGGAAGGAAGAAGAAGGAGCCAGAAGATAAGGAGGAAGAAGGAGGTGGAAGAGAAGGATACCTGGAGCGAGAGTCGGCGAGGTAGGAGATAGGGAAAGGGGATGAGAAGAACCGCCTGATGAAGCGGGAGAGTGGAGGGGTTGGGCGGGGGAGGTGGAGAGTCAGTGTACCAAAAGCTGGGAGCAAATGACTTTGTATACACGTATATTACGTTCTATTATGAAACGCTTGTCGCCGCATGAATTGCAGCATGACGTCACCGCAGCAGCTCACACGTCACGCGCGCGCGGCTATATGTGGATTCGCTGCATCCGCCCGATATCCAATTAGCGAAGGTTTTGTGATTGAACGCGGCTGAATGGTTGAATGCTGGCAACGAGGTCCGACTATGCGGCGCTGTCTCCCCGGCCCGGGGTTAGCATTGCACGTGATTAACAACCGAAGAAGTTAGCCAAAAAATTACGCCTTATCATTGCACGAATTCAGTCGTAAAAAAATTAAGCGTTAAAGTTTCCGCGTCACAAAATTAATACAAAGGTTTCGTTGGTGAGATTCATCAAAAAATTAACGCGCGCGTTTCTCGCCGAGTTTGCGAAATATTTTTTCCCCGCAGAATTGAGTTTATTTTAACTTACCGGCATAATCTTGACGGGTCTTCGGTACAGCACGGCCTCCTGCGAACAACAGCGATAAGCGATTGAGCAATTTAATGATTTAGTTCACCGCCACCGACGCGGTGAAAATAATAGAATATAGAGACGAAATCGACATAGAAGGCGTCACACACGCGCGCGCTTGATTCTCACCGCGAAGTATTGATTTTTTTTACTAACACGCGTTAAAGAAGATGTCAGAGCGAGGGTGAGAGACAGACGGAGAAGAGAGAGAGGAACACATAGGCAGATTGGGAAAGCGAGAGAGAGAGAGAGAGAGAGAGAGAGAGAGAGAGAGAGAAAGAGAGAAACAAACAGAGAGAAAGATAGATGGAGAGAGATAGAGAGACAGAGAGACGCACACACGCAGCGCAAGTAACGCAGGCACGCCACGCACGCACGGCATGCACCGCAGTAACGCACGTCATGCAATTCACGCATATACATAACCGCACGTGCATGCACACAACAGAATTCGCCGCGCACCGCCGTCTTAAGCTAACAACAGCTGAGTGCAAAGCCGGACAATGGAAATACGACGAGAAGTCGCTTATTCACTTAAGATGCATATTTAGAGCTATTTTAAGGAAAATCGTATGGACGACGGCAAACCATTGCTGTCCAGCCTCCGGGCAGACAACGGCATTTGACGGCCTGAACTATCTATTTTGCAGCCGACAGAAGCTGTGAGCAAGATCTGAGCCAACATGGACCTTGATGTTACTGGCAGGCTTCCTCCCATGCACGTCCTCGATTCCGCTTATGTTCCTGACCTTACGTACGCCGCCCCCCCGCATTCACCATTACTCTCCGCTCACAATGCCTTCTCTCTGCTTGTTCTTGTGCGTGTGTATTTGTTTGTTTGTTGCGTTGCGTTGCGTGGTTGGTCTGTGCTAGTGGGAGTGTGTGTGTGCTGTGAGTGTGTGGGTGTGTGTGTGGTGTGTGTGTATGTGTTGTGTGCTGTGTGTGCTGAAGGGGTAATTCTACTGTGCGCGCACGCGCGTGATGTGTTGTGTGTGGTGTTCGCGCGCGTGAGTATATGTATCGACGGTGGGTGGTGCGCGTTGCCAGTGCGTGCGCGTGGAGTGCGTGCGCGTGGGTGCGTGCGTGCCAGACCGGATGTGCGTCGCGCGTGGAGAGAGAGAGAGGAGCGCTCGCTAGCTGCACGCGTTCTATATACGATGTATGCAAATCAATAGTTTGCCTAACGCCTTTTCTGTCGAAGGAAAATGGCCTGCTCTCTTTTTCGCAGGAGAAGGAAGAAATACTTCCCGTCTGAGCACACGAGCGATGCAAAGAAGCATCGGTTTTGTTAATGTAGATGGACATCAGAAATTCATATAGCTTACCATTAGCCAAATTAAATTATGGAGATTTTCAGCATTTTTATTTATATTCTTTATTTCGATATAAAACTTATTTATCTCGACAAAAGTTAATTAAAAACCAATACATAATTGGAAAACGGAACCACGCGGGCAACACGTCCATCGCCCATGCTCGTCGTCAGCCGCAGACGCGCAAGAACAACCTGAGCGGAAACTTCAGTTGTTAATCAAAACTTAATTCGGTTTAATTGCATATAAATGCAGTGCTAAGATATGCCGTTCCGAGGCGGCCATGGAGACCGCCAGCAGACGAAAAAAAGCCATTCGCACTTACACCGCGAAGAACATGAGAGCAATGACGACGTTTGTTCCCCCTGGTCGTGTAATCTTACTGACAATGGCAAAGCTGGTTAAATGACTACTCGAGATATCATCGCTTCATGTACACAGCACGCATTTGTTATCGATTCACCGCAGGGAGAACTGAATCATGATTCATCTAATTATGAATACGGGAATTACTATAGTATACACTGCTCTGCGATGCTATGCTACGGCTGCTCTACGCCTATGCTAAGTTATACCTGTGCTATATGTTCTGATCTTGCTATTGCTCTGACCTATGTTCATCCTGTGCTATATGGTTCTGATCTGCTATGCTCGGCCCTATGATATTGCTATGATACGCTATGCTCATGCAATACTATGGCTATGCTATGCCTATGCTATCTTGCTGTGATGCTTATGCTTTATCTCTGTTATGCACTGCTTTCGCTATGCTAATGCTATGCGCATACTTATACTTACTATACTTATACATACTATACTATAACTATTACTATACTAACTATACTATTACTTATGACTATGTATACTATAGTATACTATACTATATACTATACTATACTATACTATACTATACTATACTGTACTGTACTGTACTGTACTGTACTGTACTGTACTGTACTGTACTGCTACTGTACTGCCCTACTGCTACTGTACTTT